TTTGATATTCCGAATATGTCAGTCAGGGAAGGTTTTCAGTTGTAGACTGCTTTGGACAGTGGGTAAGGAATCCATGTAATTAGTCCTATTAATGCATATCAACAGTGTTTTCAAAAGAACTGCACCAATTTTCCTTTCAGTACTGGAGGCAGCCTTCCATCTATTGGTACTTCTGTCCCGCAGGATATCCAAGAGGCCCGGTGAAAGTCTGTGTGGCTGGTGGTGCGGCTCTGTCCTCTCAGCTGACTGTGGGAGGTGAGCGCTCCCTACTTCACCCTGTTTTTCCCTTGCTTTCAGATCCCCACCTTGATTGACCGGATGCTGGTGTCGTCTAACACCAAGACGGGGGCTGCGGGAGCAGAGGCCTTGTCTCTCCTACTGAAGAGGCCCTGGGACCCTGCTGTGGGGGTGCTTTCTCATAACAAACCAGTAAGTTGCATAGCTCAGGACTTAACCATGGAATGGGTGCCATGGCAGCGGCAAGAGGCCAAGAAAGGGCTGAACTGTTCCCCCAATTGTTTGTTTCTGATTGTGTTTAATGTAGGTCTGTGAGCAACTGAGTGTTGGTTGGGATAAGAGGGGCATCGGGACAGGTGGGTTTACCGAAAGGACGCCTCCCACTCACGGTTTCTTTGGATGGGGGTTCTTTCTCCCTAGGGCAAACTCCCCGGCTCACCTCTGATTCTCATCGCCTCCTCCGGCCCCTCCAGCTCTGTGTTCCCCACCTCACGCCGCCACCGCTTCTGGCAGTCTCAGCTGTCCTGCTTAGGCAAGGTCTGTGTTAGAGGAGGAGGTGGGGGTGCCGCTTTGGGGGATTGAGAAGAGATTCACGGGGAGGGGGCCCAAACAAGTGGATTTCCGTGGACCATCCCCTAACTCTTCTGGTGGTGCTTATCAAAGGTTGAAGGGATCGAGGGGAGGGGGGTGGATTCAGAGAAGATTTGAGAGTTGAGTCTGCGGGCACTTTCTTTCTGAGCAGGTCATCCCTGTAGCCACCCACCTGCTGAACAACGGCAGCGGGGTGGGCATCCTGCAGTGTCTGGAGCATATGATTGGGACCGTGAGAAGCAAAGTGCTGGAGGTGAGGCACTCACTCCTCTCTGCGCTCTGGGCTGTTCTGGGCCTGTCTCTGGCCCCTGTGCCTCACTGTCGTCTTTCTCTTCCCACAAAGATTCACAGCCATTTCCCACACAAACCCGTCATCCTGGTTGGCTGGAATACGGGAGCTTTGGTGGCCTGCCATGTAAGTGTTTGCCATCTTGTTTGGAGGTGATCGTGGGTTCGAGGACTGCTGCCACCACTACCGCCCCTGATGACAGTTGTGGTGCCAGTCTTTCCTTGTGCACTAGGCACGGGGCTAGATGCTTACTTACCTGGGTCATGGCATCTGAGACTGCAGAGAGAAACATTTTTTACTTGATTGTGGGAAAATTTAGAGAAAAGTGTAAGCCAGGTGATTAGATCAGTGTCATGAGCCTAACAGAGCTTGACCCATGGTCATCTCATGGCCTGGCTTGTTTCCTCTTCCTCTGCCCACTCTCTCATCTCCTGAATTATTGTGAAGGAAATCATTTCATATATTTTATATTTCAGCAGCTGTAACTTGGGTGAAAGAATTCTTCCCCACCCCCAGTATAAGCACTGTGCCATTCTTTCACCTCAAAAAGGCAGTTATTCTAACTGGCAACATTTAATCACTGTGGAATTTGATGTTGTCTTCCTGGCCTTCCCCTTCCTAGTAGGCTCTCTCCCCTGCTTCCTGGTCTAGGGTTGGTGTAACTCAGTGAGTGCTCTAAGGAATTTGAGATGATCAGGAGCGAGTGCTCAGTTCAGGGGAGTGATTGTCTTCACTAAGGGAGAACAGCTCCCTTGATGCAGCTCGGGGGCTAGGAGAGGGCACTGGAGGAGTGGAGGATGGGCCTGCTGGCAGCCCTGGGCCCTCAGGTTTGGGGTGAAGCGTGGCTGCAGTCTCATCAGTTGACCTTTAGAGGTGCTGTTCTGTTACAGGTGTCGGTGATGGAGTATGTCACTGCAGTTGTCTGCCTTGGCTTCCCTCTGCTTACCGTGGATGGTCCCAGAGGGGTAAGAAGGGGGACGTACCCAGCTTTATCAGTGGCCGGTTCGGGTGAGGGAGTAGCCTCGTCTAACCTGCTGTCCATCCAGACTGCAGGCGCCCAGGCACCCTCCCGAGTGGAGTTCCAGGTCAGTGCTGACATCCTGTCCAATTCCCAACCTTACTTGTTTTAGGACGTGGATGATCCCCTCTTGGATATGAAGACGCCGGTCCT